TGGTTCCCCCGGGACTCCAACCCAGAACCCTCTGGTCCTGGTTCCCCGGGGACTCCAACCCAGAACCCTCTGGTTGCAAGGCCATTGTGCTGACCACAACACCACCATGTCCCCCAAAAAATTGTTAGTCTTCCATTTATAAAAAATGCTTTTTTAAATTTTTTTATTCTATAATATTTAAAAATTTCTTGATTCACTATCATGAGTGGCATTTTGTAATGAAAAAAACAGCCACACTGAAGGAAGTATCGGTGGGAAGTTCCCGTGAGGCCTCACAGTCTACTCCTTTGTGATTTGTTTTACAAACAAGGAATTTGTGAACGTTGCCGGTCATGATGACAAACACGCAGTTCATGAAAAAATGAAGATGGAAATGCAACATGAGCTTTTAAGACATGGAACATTCCGGAGAGGTCAGAGCGACGAGCTTCGGGGAGGCAAAGAAAGAGAAGTTTTATCAATAATGAATAGGATTTTCTTCTCCGTGCAGGACGGCGGACGAAGAAATTCCACCTGGGGAACAAGAGGTGCACTGACACACTCATATACATACGCGCGATAAAAAGCGTGTGTTAGCTAGCTAACGCGCGCGCGCTTCGGCCCAAACTTGCTAACGCACGCCAACTCACACAGCCTCAGATATGGAGCAGGTCAGAGGTAGTGGAAAAAACGTTGGCGTGCGCACAAAAAGACACACACTTCAAAGACACACCCAGTTGTGCGTGCGCACATTCCCTCAGCAAAGTTATTGACACATGGAGAAATCCATATTTATATATAATACAGTGTGCTGGAGACCCATCAGTCTCCATAGTCTATGAAAGGCCTGCACCGCTTTACTTAAGGTATTAAATGTTTATGTGCAGCTTCTCTATCCCTCAGTAACCCCTTCTCTCCACGTGCACGCGCACGTGCACGCGCTCACATTGGCAGTCGAATTCACAAATTCAAACCGAGAACTAAAAAGGTATTTTTCGTCTTTGTGGCGTTCTTTTGTGAGACAGCGGCTGAGGGAAAGACGTGTTTTTGCTGGAGTCGCTAATTCTGTGATGTCGTTTTGTGTTTTGTGTCTTAACTGAAGATACGGAAACGATGAGGTTCACTTTTCAGTGCGTCTGGTCAGATGGAGCTGGCTGGTTGTTTGTGGATGATTGAGGCAACACTATCTCATGTTACCAATGAAAGTAAACTCAACGTAGTTGTAAATTAGCTAATATTGTCTTTAACTTGCAGGACGTAATAACATGTTTCTAGTGCGTTTCTAAACCTTTTTTAAAATGATGAGCCTCTTGTCCTATAAAATGTGAGTGTTTATCTGACATTAGATACCTGGAAAAGCTATTCTAGGTGTTAATTGCTCTAATAATTGTTGTTCTTAGCGCTCAAAGAACCGATTAGCTTTTTTGAGTTTCCAGGCTGATTCCTTTATGAGTTTTATAGAGTTGAGGTTATTGTTAAAACATTTAAATTTTGGATTTTTTTTAAATGAAATAACTGTGTGTAGTGGTAAGGGTTAGGGTTAGGGTTAGTGTTAGGGTTAGGGTTAGGATTAGGGTTAGGATTAGGGTTAGGATTAGGATTAGGGTTAGG